ATTTTCTGCTCACGCACTCTCTCAACTTCCTCTGCCTGGTCTGCAATCTTTCCTCAGTGCCAGGTTAGAAACCTCTGCCATAGTTTCATCTTGTCCCTCTCAAGGCTGTTGCTGATTCTGAGTTAATCCTTTCCAGAATATTTTAATATGTTTTTTCTAATCTTAGCATGAAGCCAACCTTTGGTCAACTGTAAGAAAATTTTTTGCTTTTCTACCTGATTGCTCTGCTCTTCATTTCCTTCACTCTCATTCTACCTGAATCAGTGCCACTAACATTATTTTCCTTTTGCATTTGCACTTTTCTGACTTCATTACGCATCAGATATTACACATTAGACTTCCACTCCTGTTTCAGAAAATGTGCTTTTCCTATCCTTTTCCACTCTTTGCTTCCCCCTTCCTTTTACACAGTGGGTCCATGCCTTCGTGAAACACGCAGCTGCATCACAGCCCTGAGATGAGAACAAACCAGGAACCACTTTCCTGCTGTTAGTTCAGGAATAGCCAAGTTGACTCAAGAAAGTGCACCAAAATGCAACAGCTTTTGAAGCCTACACATTCTGAGAACAAGTGAGTTCCCGGTGGCTGTGGCATGGGCCTGGATGACTTTACAAGACATTACAATGTCATATACATCAAGTAACTGTCGTAGTAGCCAGCACAATACTATTCAGCAGCACGTCCGCTTTCCATCAGCATACGATGAATCTCTCTCCTTGCTCCTCTGGCTGACGAAAAGCCAAGCAAGTCTATGGCCCTTCTCCATGGCTTGATTTTCAATTAAGAGATAATGCCTGTGGAAGAGCACAGTTCATCAGATAGTGTTCCCCTGCTGCTGCAGAAGGCAGACATGTAGTAAGGAGAGGTCAACGGCTGAAAATCTGTGTTCCTGGCTAAAAGGTTATATAATATGTTAGGCTAATTTTACTTCATTTCATATTCATATATATTAGTGCATCTTTTGTCATATACTTATCCTTATGTAAGTTACATCTGTTCTTTTATTCACTCATCCATGTTTGCTCTGCTTTCAGATTTATGAAACAGGCATTCCACTGAGCTCAGCAAGTGATGGGCATAATAACTTATCTAAATTGCAAAGTATGTGATGCCCTTGAGGTAAACTAGAATGTGAAGGTTTTATGAAGTGTCTCACATGTGGAAGTGTAGGAAAGTGTTTATTTGCCAACTCCTGTCTCTCTTTTGGCTGTTCAAATGATGTTAAGAGGATCCTATGAAACTGCTATGAAAGCCTAGGGGCTAAACGGAGGAGAGAACTAGAACTACATTATTAACTTTGTAGGGGAAGCAGAGCCATACTGGCACTTGCGCTTATTTGGCTCTCCTCTCTTTGGATGTCAAAAGTTTCTGGTTGATAGGCTCTAAAGTATCTATTTATTTCATGAAATGCCTCTCACTGTAACAATATTGTGAGGCTTTATTAATGAATTTATTCTTATGAGAGAGGAAAGTAATCTTTTTTTATTTCTTTATTTTTTCTCTTACGAGACTACAGAGAAACAAAAGGCTCTGTAGAGCAAAGGAGGAGCCTCCCTGCTGTTATACGTATCTGAGATGCTCTAAACCCCTCTGCCTGTCTATAGCTGCTACAAAGTCCTGCAATAGCCATCCCAGAGACCTGGTTCCGTGAGTTGCTCTGGGCCAAGCTTTACCGCTAGTCCCAGCATTCTTGTTCACGTCAGATGCCACTTACATCATATGTGACTCTATCAGCAAAGAAGCTAGTCAATCATGGCCAGACCTGGCTACTATGGTGGTGTTCCCATCTGGTTAAGGCCCAGTGGCTGGACTGAGTCTTGTGGGACCAAGTGGAATTATCAGGTTAGTTCCCCTCAACCTCTCTTGGAAGTTTCCAGCTTATTGCTGCTGAGCCTTGTGCATCAGAGGTCATTGCTCAAGCTGCTGGGCTAAGTCAGTCTTGTTAAAATAATGATTTGGATTAAGAAGTGAATTTACACTTCAAAATCCAGTAAGCAAAAATACGTTTCTACCTCTGTTCACTGGTGAGGAGTGAAGCCTTTTTAAAAGGAGGTGTTTGATGCTCTTTCTCATAGAGTTGCCTATTGCCTGCTTTAGGAGGGCTTCCCATTCCTAAGGGTGGCTTCAGAGAAGTCCGTTCTCTTGAAATGCAGAGGGTGTGACATTTAAGTACCTTTGCTACTCAACGTATAGCACAATTTGGACAGAGCCAGTAACTAAAAATAGAATTCCTAAGCCCTAATACGGTGCCTTGAATCCTCTCTAAGCCCAGCAGTCTGGCCACCAGCAAGTTCAGTCTGGGAATTTCTGAAAACTATAAGAAGAAGAAAGGTGGTAAAAAAATTTCTGGGAAAATGTTCCCTTTAACCATTTGGAAAACAGGCACTGCTATAATTCTTCTGCATTAGAGAAAACTTTTGAGTGCTTTCATTAGGTGCAACAGCTGTTTCTATTGCAAAAGCCAAACTTCATTGGTGGTAGCGTAGCTGTCAGCTTTCCAGAGTTTTGTGTTTATAGCTGATTGTATAAACTCCTTTATGTTCTTTTTTGCTTTCCAATACATGTAAATTAATTCAATAGCAAAAATACAAATAACTATCTTGTAACTAGATCTGTGTGCAGGTTCTTTGTGGGCCGCTACGGTCAGCGTCTTGTGATGAGTGAACTGAGAAATACCGAACTTTTTGACATGGTTCTAGCATGAGTGACATGCGGTAATCCCCACCACATAAAGTTTTAATCATCAGATTTAATCCTCCTCCTTAGTACTGTGTTAGAGTTCTTTAACCTAGCGTAACATTCTTAAACAAAAAAAAGGACAAACCAGCAAAAAATCCAACAAAAAATGCGCCCAAGCTCCCTGAGTGTTTTCCCGTCTCCTCTATTTAAAGAGATTTTTTTCCTAAGAACACGCTGAATATGCTGAAATTAAATTTTGGAAAAAAGTAGAATAGAAAAGAAATATTTGATGATGCTTTTCATTTCTTTGTTCTGATATAATATAGTAAAATATTTTATGTGTTATGAAACAAACAGTGAATTCTGCTTAGAACATCTCTCAAATCAAATAGTTATCTGAGTTGTACTGAATTTTTAAATGGCAGAGAGCAGATATTCATGGATTCAGTAATTTTATTCCCTAGTATTGAACTGTGCACAGATTCATGTGGCATAATATGGGATACCAGTCCATTTTTAATTGCTAGTTTGACTTCCCTTAAGACTATATTGAAAGTAAAAGTATCCAGAGAAATATAAAGGATGTACATACGTTAAGTATGAATACACCAAAAGAAAATACTTTGTTTTACTGAATTTACAATGAAATATTAGCCACTGTCTGTTGCAATATGTGGGAATCTTTTTGGTATCCCCAACAAACTTCTAATGAGCCTTTCATAAGTATTTAGATATCTGTGTATTTGGTCCAGCTTTCAGCCGCGCTCCTTCCTCAATAGCCTCTGAACTGTTATCATTCAGAGTTGTGAAAATCAGCCTGGTTATTCAAACACCTAACTGCGGATTAAAATCCTGACTCTTGGAAAAACTTTGGAAAACTGTCTTTGATATTGAAGTCTATTGTCTGAAAATCGGGAGGAGAAGTGCTAGACAAGTACAGGGAATAGGCTCTTTGTAAATATGTCATTGACTCTGCATTCATCTAGTTATCACTGTTTAGTATATATGGCAGGAAATATGCATGTAATTGTATAAATGCGTGTCATTCATATCATACGTAGCATTTGTGTTGCAAAAGATTCTCATATGGTCTGTAGGTAGCTGTGAGAGGTCTAGAGACTATCCTGGTGCAATGTAAAAGCGGCACGAGTATTTATCCTTTGTTTGAAAGAGAAAACCTGGTCTGTCTATAATTTTGGGCATTTGGATGTTGGTTACTTTCTGAAAACCTTAAGAGCCACTGATCTGACAGCTAGCCGAGGCAATGCCCCTACTCAGGCTTTCTCTCAGAGGAGATGCCTTCAGAAATTTTAATTCAAATCACTTGGAAATGCAGACTCTGAAAATACCTTGGCCCTCCCCCCCCACACCCCGTGATTCCTTTCAGACATCTCTGTCTTATTTGCTTATCCTGGTTACACTGACTCAGGGCAGCCAGGGTTTGAGTTTTCACTATCTTCCCTGAGATCTGTCTGCAAATCCGAAATCCCAACGAGGGACAATTTCAAGTCCCTCCAGTGCAGAAATTCAAGCCCTCTGTTCTCCAGCCTCCCACTCCAGCCACAACCCAGAGCGAGCGTGCGTCCATCTGGGATTTGACAGAGCTGTAGGACAGCGGGTGAGACCCATGCTTCAAACAATTAGTTACATTTTCCCTCCCTCGTGATGCATTGCTATCCTTTTCCTCGGAAGTGGCTGAATGTCAAAGGTGTGATTTGCTCTGGTATGAAAAACTTTGTGCAAATGTAAGATAGTCCTATTAGATCCCAGCCTGACCTATTAGTCATTACGTTGGGCCAGATTCATCTGTACAGAGAATGAACACAAGACTCCCTGCATTTCACAAATCCTTTAAGAATTAAATTGACCAGTTGCTGTGCAGAGACTCCAGAAAGGCATTTACACGTCTTTTACTTCTCACATCACCAAAGCCTCATCTGAGATCCACTAAGGGACCTAATTTGCTGGCTGAATATTCCCTCCCCCCCTACCCAATTAGCCCAGTACCCCATATGAAAAGAATGTCATGTCTCTACAATATGAGAAGTATAATTATCAGCCAAAAATAAGCTATTCATTATTTTTTTCGCATTAGATAACCACATGAGACTATTAACATGGACAAAGATCAACCATAAGGGCTAAAGCAAATAATAAATACGTATTTGTGGCTAGTGCCTGAGCACCAAGAATTCAAGGCACAGAGCCAGGTTTCAAATGGCACCTACTTTCTTTTCTGCCTTTTGAACAGATATGACTCAGGTGGACATTTACTCCCCAAGGAAAAATATACTCTCCTGCCCTTTCCTGCAGGCTTTTACCTTCTGAATTTTATTCCACACACGTGTCTGCTCACTTCTTTTTCCTTCAAGGATGTTTATGGCATCCGCCATTAGCAACCGCAGCTGTGGCACCAAGATAAAAATTATCAGTGTGGAATTCACACAGAAATAACTTCTCTAAATACACAGATTAAAACCTAATTAAAAAATCATTTGTACGCTGATGATTTTATTACTCATCTTTCACACAATGAGCACTGCCATCACATCTTCACTTCAGCCATTACACTGTATTATTGTGGATATAAAATACTTAACAATGGGAAAAAATCCTCAGGAAAATTTGTACTTGAGCCTATATGTTTTAATGCAGTAAATGTTTATACTTAGTAAAGGAAGACTTGGGCTGTAAAGAATAAAGGCTCTGTATTTCATTCTTTAGCTGTCTGGGATATTCTGTGTCGTACATGGATGGTTTTTAGTGTTTTCTCCCAAGGCTAATGTACCGTAATTTAAAGCAGCATGTAAAACCTCACAAGAGGACAACACTAAAGCTGAGATGCTTTTACTGTAGCTGGAAGTATCTAGCTCATTTTCCCTGCTTTTACTATCCTTTTTCTTTGGCAAACCCTCCCTTCTCCCCATCATTCAGCATAACAGAGCATAAAAATAAGGCTCACAATTTCTAGTATCAACTATAAAAAGAAGCTGTAGGAAAACACTTGCTAATCAGTCCTTAGTGTTAGAGAGAAGGCTAAAATTCAAGTTAGTTGTAGTATTGCCTTGCTCCAGTACCCTTCCAGCCTAGTCATAGCATTGCCTCACCCGGCACCCTTCCCAGACACTCAGAAACATTCCAGTTGCTCTTAATTCAGTAACAGAGAGACAAGGGTCGGATCCAAGGCGTCTGCCCGCGAGCAGCCATTAGCATCAGCGTTTCGGAACAAACGGGGAGAAATTTGTATTTAATACCGGTGAGATTGCTGTGCCCTGTTAGGTCTATTCCAAAACGTTTACTTGGTTAAAGTGAACCTGAGCAATAGTTTTTGGTGCCTCTTCCTAAATTTGTTACTTGCTACAAGTAATTGGACAGTATAAGCATAAGCATTCACAGAGAAATTGTCTCTTCTTTCTGTACGTAGATGGGCAGCAGCCTAATATGAGCACATACGGTGATGAAACTTCCAACACCAGTGTTCAGGCTCATCTGCCCAAGATACAGAAATGCTGCCTTGAGGTTCAAGGAGCAGACCTGTATTTCCTCAAGTTTACCTTGCCATTCAGGTTTTTGAATTTAAAATTCTTGGTTTGTGTCCCAACACTGGATAAAGTATGCAGGAAACTTCTTTGGAATCTCTAAAGAATTTTGCTGTGGTTGGTTCCAGCCTGCTTCCTCTGTGCTTGTGCAGCTACTCAGTTGAATCTTATTGGTCCAAACGTTTGATTAATTTTTATTTTTTTTTTTTAAGTCATGCATCCGTATTCATGAAAAACAAACCTGCAAATTTCCGTGTCTGACTTCAATGCGAAGAGTCAAGAACCTGTCAGAAATTTTCCATCACAATACTTTTATGATAGATAGTCTCCTTTGGTGAATCCAGAATAGACACAGCCCAGACATTAAGGGTATTAAGGGCAGAATGGGCAAAGCACAGATCCTCCTTCAAACCTCACTGAGGAGGAACCGGTCAGGGGAAGAGGAGGATTTCTCCATTGCTTTTCTTGGAGTGATTCTCTCTGAAGAACTGGTCGAACAGCACCCACTGTTCGACAGGGGACCAGGACATAGGTCTGTGCCCCCCAAGGAGCTGCTCCGACAGCCCAGCCAGGCTGGGGACCTCACTGCTTTGGCCAAGATGTCAAAATGAGAAACCTTTCCAATTAAAGTTTCACTGATATTGATATGTCCCAGTGAAAAGCACCTAGTGTGAGCTCTGGTTTTAGTTTTTATCACCAAAGTTTCTCACCAGGTCTACTGGCAGAGAAAATGTGTGTGCTACAAGAGTGGACAGTTGGCAAATCACAGTAATTCACCCACAGCTGATCTTTTCTGGAAAATCCCCACCAAGGAAAAATGCTGCATTTTTAAAAAATATCTTGTCCTTATTTGATTTTAAATTGAAATAGGTTTCTACTCTTCTAACATATCTTCTTGATTTATGATGTACAAATATGGTGACATTGAATTGGTAAACTTTGGAAAGTTGTTCTTCAGGGCTCTTCCCCGCTTATGTTCAACTACTCAAGCTCAGAGAAATCTTTATTTTCCCAGGGTCTATGAATAAATACTGCTCTAAAAAAGACTCAGTTGAGGTTCTCTGTGCCATAGATTAGGACTCTATTTATTTAGTTACAGGAAGACATTTACACAGAAGAGTTTATAACTGAAATGCCTTTGGGATCCTTGCTGAATCAGTGCAAATTGCACTATTATAAATTCAATGTGTTTTAAACTTTATACCACTTATACTGTATGTGATAATAAACATTTGGCATCTTTAGCATTTTCTAGCTCACACAATTTAACTGCCTTGCTCGGTCATAAAGTCTTATCTCAGTTTTACCAATGTGAAGTCAGAATGACCTCAGAGGAATTACTTGAAATTTTTATTAGTACCAGTGAGATTAGAATTTGGCCAGCTCAGTTTTCTTCATGGAAAAATTTAGATATATCTTAGAAAACTTGCTGAAGAGCGAGTAGCACATGGAGTCAGCACGGGCGCTGTGATTCTGTTGCTGTGATTCACGGATATGGGGGGCTGCCTGTGTAGCATCCATTGTGGGCCACTGAATCACACCAGTACAGCCCAGTCCTGCAAGTGTTTCATCCTGCCCGGACCCCACTGGAAAGAGGAGGATGACAGGAAGGCTGAGAAAATGAGGATCTTTTGCTCTTTCCCGGGAGGGAAACGGTCCCAACTGGCATAAAGGGAAACCTGTGCCATGCGAGCTGATGCCACCAGGAAAGGTAAAGCCCATCAGTCACTGCCTGGTGAAGCTACTCTGCAAGTTCTTCTTGCAGTCTTGTGCCTTAATGCTGTGGTGCCTGAAGTATACTAAAATATTCTATCTACGAAGCATCTGAGCCTCCATTTGCACACACAGAGACTAAAGATACATTTTACAGAAGGATGACAGGACAAAGAAAAAGAAATGAATGCTGAATTAATACATTGTAATGCTCTGGACAGTCTAGCTGGTAGAGATTTTCTGCCTTTTTCATTTTAAAAAACATTTTTACCTTGGGCTCAGTAAACAAAGCATGTGTTTCATTGAGAGGTTTACCATCTGTCACTTAAAACTCCCGGCACAGACCCTCGTTCTGCCCAGTCCTACCCCTACAAGACTGAAGACCTTTGTCTCGGGTGGCCTAGAGCCTCTCCCAAGAAGCTTTCCAGGGAGGTCAGGCTTATGATTACTACATGACAAGATACAGGCAGCAGTGTAATAGCCTGTGCTTAACGTGTGACGTACTGAAAATATTGCACCCTGGAGAGAAACCTATCACGGAAGTGTGTACCAATAACTCAAGACCCTTTAGTCAGCCTTGAAATGTGGCCCTGCTGAAGTTGAAGGCTAGAAAACTTGCATCAAAAGGAGCAGGTCCTTTAATAGCACCGTTTCTTTGCAATGTCGTTTTCCCCTTATCTCGAGCCCAGACTTCAAAGTCTGGCAACCACCTCCTGCAGTTGCAGGCCGCTGCTCCTCTTCCCTAAAGCAAGCTGCTGTGAAGCTTTAATTCTGCAGAGCTTAGGAGCTTTGCAGGACTGCAGACAAATGTCGAGGGACCGGCTTTGGGAAAACCAAGAGTTTTTAGTGAACCCAAGTTGGATCATCAAAATTGGACTGCATTTAAATGCAGGGATGGTGGAGGGACTTCTGTCTTTTTGCCAGAATGAAATATTCTAAAATTTGCATGTATGTGAGCTCCCTCCTTCCCCCATCCAAAAATCCAGCAGCTTCGTGGAAGAGCAACCATACGGTACTTTCTGATTGCAGGTTATCAATGTATTCTCAAGCTATTAATAACTCTAGTCTTGAAATACCCCTGTTAGCATCACTGCCCTCATCTTACGAAGGGAAAACAAAAGCATAGCAGGTAGCTGGGTTTATTCACAGACAGGGAGCAAGCCGTAGATGGAGCCAGGAAAGAAAATCTTTTCTCTCCTTTCCTCCCTCTCCTCAGCTTTAACTAGATTCGGCCTGTTTTGCTGCAGGTGGCTTCTGATGTTAGGTATCTTAAAGTAGCACCATCTGAATAATTGCAATCATTTTCCCAGACTGATTTGGGGAGGTTTGGGGGAAAAGAAGAGGTTTTAAAAATATGCCTACAGATGAGTCATGCTGGTTCTATAAAAGTCATCCTTGCAGGTGATTAGCACCTCCTCTGACAAGGCACTGCAGTAGGATTTTAAAGCTACTTCAGGTCTGCACATTCGAAAAATGACTTCCAGAGCAAATTGCAGCGCAGTGCTCTGCCCCAGCCCTTACCTCCCCGGCTCTCTGCCTCTTAAGGCCAAAATGAATATTAGAAAGAAATACTTACCTGTCTGGTATCCCGCTGACTGATGTCTTGCAGGTAGGGAAGGGTTGCTAGCTCGGCCATCGCTTGATTAATCACTTGGGACTGTTCCTCGACTCTCTGCAAACGGCCGAGGAGGCAGGCGTAATGCAGCTTCTCTATCGCGCGTGAACACGCACAGCGATCGTCCTGTTATCCCAGCAAAAGCAAGTGGGTTAGAGGAGAGTCGCAGAAAACACACTTATCCTTTGACTCCTGTGCCTTGAGGCTTATCGTCATACATATTTGTGCTGGTAATACTATAAGCAATATGGCATCCAGCACCTTTAAGATAATGCTGCTGACAATTTTACAGAGGAAAAAGAAAGAAAATACTTTCTTTCCACAGTCTCTCTAGTAGTACTAGAAAAATAAATGTGTAGTCATAATATATGTGAAGGGGAGGCAGCAGATAACAAACATGAATGCAATTTTCTCATTTGGAAATGGCTTTTCCATAATCCCGTCTGTTAAAGATTACCTGACTTTCATGGATTTCTTTTAAAGTTTGAGTGAAGAGGTTGAGGAAACGGTGCAATGTGTCAGCTTGTGGTTTGTTTGCAGACTAGGCAAATCCATAGTTTTCAAATACCTAACCTTGAGGGACTAAAGCCTGCCGAGGTGGTCTCTGGTCCTCCAGGCAGCTGGGCACGTGATAGAATTTAACCATGCGAATACAGAAACTCGGCCAAGTGCTTGCATAAAATCTCAGCACCTGCTGAAGTGTTTGACGGATGGCAGCCTTACCACCATATTTTCAAAAGTACTCTGATGCCAAAAATGCAAATAAGCACCCTACTGAGATTTTCAAAAGCAATTTGGCCTAGATTCCCGATGAGATGTAGCCATTGCATATCTGAATGCTCAGCCCTTCCGAGTGAAATTTCCATTCATCTAATCAGGGTTTTGAATGTATTAAGTGCCTGAGATGCCAAGAATTGGCATCAATTTTCAAAATCACTTCCAGTATTTTTAGCAGACCTTTCTTCTGGCGTATGGTGGCATGCTGATGCTGCCATTTACATACACTTGCAGCTAAGTGATTTGAAGTCCAATCGTATATTGAACTGGGTGAATGAAAAGTTTTTCAATAAATGGTGTCCTGTTTTTAAAAAATGAACTTCTCTTGGCAAAAAATCTTGATCTTTTGGTTTGATGTTGATCTTGGGTTTGCAGAAATTTGCACTAGGCAAACATCAAAATGACTATCAACATAGTTCTTGTATCAAGTTTAAGAATTTAATAACAATGGTGTTCTTGCTTTCTATATGTCTTGCAAGAATAATAATGGAAAAATCTTATTTTATTTTAACCCTAGAAAAATGCAAATAATCCTGGTACAGTTAATTTTATCCCCTTTAAAATAATAACTAATAAAATTGGGAGCTCCAGGTATAAAAGCAAGTGAAAAAGAAAGAGCTGAGCCAATGAACTGGTATTTCCATCAGCCGAAGGAGAGAATCGGGCACTGCACAGGGAAGAGGAGCTCTGGTCAGCAGTTCTCTGGAGTATTGCGGATAGCTCCAGTCAGCTGTGTTTGGAGAGGTTAATTTAAACCCAAGCATCATGGAGCAGAGAAGCCAGCATGGTAGGAGATACCTCTTTTGAGAGAAGTGTGGTTTGATTAGTCTATTAATGAAAGTGCCAAGAGCTTGTTATTCTTCTAAATAAACATAATGCAGGGCTAAATTCCCAAGAAAGCAAAAACTGAAAAGGGAAGGAGAGATAAAAGAGTATGATAGTAGAAGGACCATTGTGTATACATAGGTACAAATAAGACTGGGGTGGCAATTAAGCTTCTTATAATTCAGGCTGAAGGTCTGCAGTGTGTTTCACCAAAGGCAGAAAAGGCAGAAAGCCTAACTAGTTCTAAGATGGATTTTACTCAATTTCTGAATAGGATATTACATGACACAAAGGTGTATAGTAGCAGGTGATTTGAGGAGCCAGGAAAGCCCTTCCAGGCCCACCTTCTCATGAACATCTGCTGACCCACCTCAAAGAAGGGAGACCAGGATAACCTACTTACAAAATATTTTTATCACTTGAAGAGTCCTTTTCTGAGGAGCTGACCTAGTGTTAACAGGAGACATCAGCAAGAAAAAAAGATTTCTTTGATCTCTGATATGTGGAATTGTAAATCTGGCAGTCTAGTTAGCATGGCACTAAAGCAAGGAACGAAACAGAGCCCCATCTCCACCTGATCATCGGAGTCTGAAAGCCAGATAGCTGTGTTCCCAGGTAGAGCCGTGTGCATTACAATAAGGAGAAGCAATCAGTTAATGAGAGAGAAAGAGAGCTCTTATCAACATGAAATAGTCTCACAACGTTTTAGCAAAAGATTTTTCCCTGCTATTCTTGAAAACCACCCAAAACCTTTTAGTGTAAGCACCAAGAAATTAGTATATTGAGTCATCAGCTAAGAAAGCAGGTAGAAATCCTCTCTCATCATGCTGTATCTGCTGGGTGCTTCTCCAGTGATTAAGAAAGTGAAGGCAAAAAGAAAACAATTTTTTATCTGCTTGATTCTGCAGAAAAGTATAAAAGCATGCCATGTAGCTATGGGAAGCAAACTGGGCATCTGTGTCAACATGTCCTTTGTGGACATAGCAATGCCATTAAAGTTTATAGTAAGTTGGAAGTAAATAAATAAATAAATAAATAACCAACAGCAGGGTTTTTTTTTAAGGGATTAGAGGAGGTTGAACATTGTCAGAGGTGGCGTTTCAGTAACAATGAAAAATGCAGAAAGAGAAAATAAATAACTGCTGCTGGCAGCAGAAAAAAATTCCATAGGGAGCTGAACCACACGATGAGAATTACATGAACTATAGCAGAATTCAAGGGGCTACTAAGCTGCAGTAAAAGACAGAATAAAGTGGCCAAGCAATCAGATGAAGATGAAACCAGCTCAGGTAGGCACAGTGAACGTTAAGTAAAGAGCAAACTTAAATGGAGACTTCAGTGGAAATGAGTTGGCTCTTTTAACACAGAGAAGAGACACACATCTGAGGAACCAGGTAGAAAAGTAACCAGCAAATGCAGTATGTGGAGCCACAGTTGCATCCTGCTTAGAACTGCAATAACGTATGAAGACTATAAATTATTAAATTATGTTGCTGTTACTTTCCAGATGGGTCTCACCCCTACTGTCTGGTTTTCTAAGGAGAATTTAAGGAAAAAATTAAAAATGAGCAATTGACATACTTTCTCTTGAGGACTTTATTCTTAATGGGCAGCCTCATCTTAGGCAGGGATCCTTCCGAGAGAGCTTTCCCCAGAAAACTTTTTGCTCCATGAATTCCCTTTAGAAAAACCAGGTTGTTTATTCTCAGAGGCATCTTTGAAGACCTTCCCTCTAGGAGACCAATAAGGTGGTGATGCCTGACGATAAGCCCTGGGACATCTTCATTCCTCTGACCTTGGGATGAAAAAGCACCTACAAAAACCAGATCAGCCTGTTCTGGATGGAGCTTACCTGCTATTGCTAAATGCCAAGCACTAACAACCACAGCAAAGATAGGACAGGCTGTCATTACAGAAAGGAGCTGGAGAGCATGTGAGAGGAGTGAATCATGTGTCCTTTCATGTATTGCGAATTTTGGGTTGATACCCCCACTTTCTGCTTTTCTCTGTGCTCAAGAAAGGAGTCATTCGTTATGCCACTTCTATTTATAAATAAAGTTTAATTGGCGAAGGCAAGGAGTGCTAAAGAAAAAGAAAAGCAAAGTGACTGGTCAGCCTAGATTTAAAGCAGGATCTGTCATATCCAATACGTGTGGCATGCTTAACCATCAGCTTGAAGACCACTGCTTTGCAAAAGCCTGGGATGCCCCCCAGAAGTTCTTTTCTATTATGGAGTCTTTACCTCTATTTTCCAGCTCAAAATCTGAATAAAGGTATGCTTTGCAAGAATCTCTGTAGTGTATTGCAATAACAAGTGGAAAAAAAATCCATCATAATGTTTCTTTAATGCCCTTGGTAGCCTCCAGAAAATGTGTATGCTGAAATCTGTATGTAGTAAACACTTCCTCTCTACTTAAAAAATAGACAACAAATCAGTGCGATCTGCAAACGTACGCATCATGCTGTGAATCATATAGTAGGTTTTGTTCACCTTTGTAATATGAGCAGCCTAATAAGCCCCTCTGGCTACTTGTTCTCCTGTTAAGTAGCATCATGTGCCATCGACATGGGGCTACAGCAGGAGAAGGGCAAACCTGGTGTGTACAAAGCAGCAGAAATCACCCCGGTGAAATCACTTGATAGAATAACCGCTTGTCAGTGCTGGTAATCTTGTTTGGAATATGAGCAGTAATCTGAGTGATACATATCTTTTAAGGCACGTGCAATAACCTTTGTGTCACGGCATGTATTTCTGGGTAGCTGAGGTTTATGGCATTTCCCCACCAGCGGCAGATGATGCTGCGCGGGGCCCAGGCAGGCTGCGACATCCTCTCTCAAACGCCTCCGGCTTTACAACACGCTAATGTCCCCTTGATTTAAATGGGACTGTCTGTTCATTATGAAGAAATGAGGTGGCAATAGACAACGCTCTGCTTTTTTTAACCTTTAACTTCACGTCTTGCCAACAGTGGTGCACGTGTAAATCATATAATTAGCTCTAGGTTGTGTGGCTGCAAAACTCCTGTGGCAGAATGGGCTTATATTGAGCGTTGCCACATCTTAATAAGCTCTGCTTTAGCACTGGGATGTTCTTGTCAAAAAAAATCTGATTAGGACAAGCATTTTGGATACTATATTTGCATCTGCAAATGAAGAAAAGGGCAGAAAGGAATGTTTATTCTATTGAAAACAAATATATCCTTTTATCCTCTTAAAGTAAATTGTACAGTTAGAGTCTGTATCTGAAGGCTGTCTACCAGAAGTTTTTAATTTAGTCTGTGTATGATGGAAATATGATGGAAGAAAATTTTGGAATACTTTCAAGGAAGTAAAAGTGGCCAAACCTCTGCCAGACCCATCAAGAGATTTTAATGACCAGTAGCAGAGCAGATCTGGCTCTGTGCCCATCTCTCTTATCAGGTGTAATTGGCTTTGCCGTTGCTCTTAGGGTCAGAGGTTCTGTCTTGCCTGGGTCATTCAACGCTATGAGGGCTGAAGGGAAAGTGAGTATATTTCCACTGATAATGGAGGTGGAATTGGAAGCCGTTTGTTCTAACTCAGTGATAATTTCTTCTGTCTAGGGGCATTCCTTCTCTCCATCAAAGCTCCCATACTGACCCCCTGGTGTCTGGTTATAAATCCATAGGACCATGATTCAGACTGCTATCCCGTTCTTGCCCCTGCTGGAGATAGCGCTGGAGGAGGCCTTGCCTCAACCATGGCGGATGCTATGCTGACTTCCTTGAAAAAAAGGCAAGGTTGCTGCTGACTTCAGTGGTGCTGGGATTTCACCCTGTGTTTTCGGGAGCCCTGTTCTGTTTCAGCAAGGATAGTTAAATGTATGAGGTGAGGTCTAGAGCTGGTAGAAAATACCACTATGTGTGAGCAGTGTAAATTCATACAGCTAGTGGGGACTGGCTTGAGCAATCCTAACACGCCACTCTGCTCTCATCTCTTATACGATCGGTTTGGTTTCTTTTCCCTGTGCCCTGCATACCAGATACCACGTATCTCTGCTTGAACCATGTGGTCCTGTTCCTCCAAATTAATTTACAGAATAAGGTAGTTATGGGGAATTCAGAAAATGCTCGATTTCAAAGTTTTTGCTCTTCCTGATACTCTTTAGAAACTGCATAACTGTGATAGAGGAACCTCACCATTAAAAGCTCGGTGTTATATCCAAAGAGAGAATTGTGGGGTCCAAAAAATTTTTTAAAATTTGAGTTTTACTGGGGCTTTCAGAAAGACTAGGGTTTTATTCTGTATCCAGTACCTGACCCACTGTTGGTCTGTACTTCTAGCTTCTTAAATGTTCGAAGTGCAATGCACACAGCAATAACAGATATTTCACTTTCCCAAAGATGCTACTTAGCCTGTGCATCAACAACTTGGGCTTTCGGTCATCCGAAGCCAAGAGCACATGGCTTCAGGAAAGAGCTGGGAAGAAGCAGATGTGTGTTTCCTTGGGGATGTCTGCCCTCCACCTGCTCCACCTGCCTTGCACCGATGCAGATGGTTTATGAGCACCCATTTTGGGAAGCACTAAGCACCTTTACCTCCCACTAAGCATGTGAGTTCAAGCACTTACTGTTGTTTCAGCAGCTGCTCTCAGAGACTAAAGGAGATACAGCTTCCCCAAATATCTAGCTAATGTTTCTTCCTTACTAGGGGTTGCTAAGTAGCAGTTTTTGTCAACCTCCTATCTGGTATCAAAACCTAAGAATATAAATCCTGTGATTTGCTAAGACACCCCTGACGAGAAAATGGCTCTGATTCTTTCAACATACAGAAAACTAAAAACCCGTTATTGCTAGGGAAAAAACGTTAACATTAGCATTTACAATCTGGGGAGGAGAGGCTTCTTCCACTTATTTTCAGGAGAATAATTTAAGAATTGCATTAAAACAGTCTAGTCTACATGCAAATTTGATTTTTGACCTTTTGTGCTAATCAAAAGCCATGGTGCTAAAAAGCTGTGTACATTATTGCAGAAAGTATGGAGTAGAATTAACTAATATACCTTCAATATGGTTGTAACAGATTTGAAGGTTATTTCACATACTTCAGTACATAGGGATCAGGATTTAAATCACTAGAAATGCTTCAAGTAGCAATTATTAACTCTTGATAGAAATTCTGGTGATATGCATAGTGTACTACGGGTATTAAACATAGTGAGTAGTTTTGGTGGTTATGTGAAGTAGCGACATAATATAATAGGCCATAAAGACTTCAGAAAATTGCATTGAAAGTGATTTTTAAATAAACTGGGTACACTGTTAAATAATTAGGGCTACTTTTTAAAAGTATCTAAACCCTAGTTGAACTCTGTTCATGATGCAATTCTCTGAGCTGAGCGTGTGCAGAATGAATTACCCACCAAAAAGCACACGTCATTCACACACGCGCAGGCTTCTGCCGCTGCATGCGCTACACACCAGAAAGTGAATTTTATACTCACAGTTAATTTGGTGCTTCTTATAAAATCCATTACTGGTATGATCTTTTTCCCAGTGTTATCCCAATATCTTTGTGTTTCTTCTGTTGTGACAGGACTGTAAGGTGCCCTCCGGTCTAGGAAATGGAATCACAAAACCATATACTGTGTTTATTCCTATACTTTTTCCATAGAGGATCTAGCAAGAGGATGAGCAAACTGGAGGAGGAGAGAGGAGGATGAGGAGAGCTGTCTGGACAGGGCTGCCAGGGCAGAGAAATGGGTCCAAGACCCTTTGACCCCCCCTCATTTAGCAAGGATCACGGAGGTCAGCCCTGAGCTCTCACAGCTATTAAGCAAGTTGGCGTACCTGAAAAGATTGGCAGTTTTCTGCTTGACCAGCTTTCCAGGATTTTTCCAATATGTTTGCTTCTGAAACCCAGAGTCAGTAAGTGCTGCTGGGGAGGCAGGGACGGCCACTCAGCCGCCTGTGGCAAGATGTGAAGTCCGTGAGGATCTGGAATAGGGAAATGAAAATAATTTCCACTATCACGTTTCTTTTCAGTTGTAAGAGAAGTTAGTTTTTTGGAGGAAAAAATAGGAAGTCTAAGGAGGAGTGAAATGTAAACTAGAAAGCTTGCCAAAGCAAAGGTGACCAAACCCCAACCCATCCAGCTATAACTGGGTTCTGAAATGCCAGACTTTGCAAGCTTTTTCCTCAACAGCTTAAATTTTGCTGATGCATGAGATAAAACATGTTCTTCCCATTTATGCACTTTTCTGTGCTGATCATCCAAAGCATTAATAACTCGACACTTCAGTAACATAACATCCTGATCTTGTAACTGCAAAAAAAGCTGTTTTGTTGTTCCCTGAATTTATGAGGCTTGATTTCCTACAGATTTGTGCTTTTACCATCACCACCACCACCATAATCCCAGGCTTCCTGCACGTCCCTTCTGATCCACCCATCTGGCACGTGGCAGCCTGTTCTGTGCCTCATCCAGAGTTTGCGACTGCCGCTGCCAAAAACCTGGCGTGTCAGCTGAGTCGGTCTGCCCTGACCTCGGCAAGGACAGATGCTCAGAGCAATTGTATAAACCACCTTCGCTTGGGCAGCCAGACCAGTCCTTTCCTCCCTCCCCTTCCCCCTGCAAAAAATAAACCTAGATTGAATGTCAGTGTCACTTTTCTCAAAGGAGCGCTCTGTTTTCAGTGAGCTCTGCTTTTAAGATGCCAGGCTGTGTGGTCACAGTGACAAATGGAGAACCCCACTCCAAGCTCTCCGGACTTACCCCTACATAAATCAAAGCAAGTGGACCTGATATTTCCCTTGCAGCATGTTCTGCTTCTGACGGATTCTCAGTTTTGCAACAAACTGCATTGTACACTTGGATTTAAATGTGTATCTGCTCCCTTTCCTTGACAATAAGGAAAACTTTGAAATCAATTAAGTCCTTACACTCTAGCAGAACTTGGACTAAAATTGGATGAATGATTGTTACAGGATAGGAAGGTTATTTAAAATAAGATGTTCGTGAGACGTCTGGTATTTCACACCCACTGTTAAAATGGGGCTTAGCTCATATTTTTAATTCCACCTATGCAAGATACAGACCTGCAGGTCGAATGCTTAGTGGTACGACACCAGCAATGAGCTAAACTTGTAGCTTGTGATGTTTTTTTGGTGGGCAGTGTGATTTTAGGTCAGGTTGGAATAGATAAGCTGCTTTGGTTGACTTCAACTAATACTGTTGTGAGTTATCTCAGCATCGAGTCTAGGAAAAGGAGCTGCATCTGCTCTGTCTGAGAGGGTTTCCAGGACAGAAAGGCGGGAGGTCAGGAGAGGTCCTGCCTGCATGAGACCTCTCACACCATTGCACTCTCAAAACTCTGATGCCCGTATTATTTTTTCTTGGCTATCTATCCCATTTAGTTCCTACAAGTTTCAGTGATTCCAGAACCTACGCTCAGAGAAATTTGTGTAAAATTGAAGCAAGTCTTTTAACCAATAGATTTTTTTTAAACAAATTTGAAGGCAGAATTGGCTGAATTCAATATTTTATAATTGACTAAAGTACCATGGGACTGGGATCTTTTACCCTTCTTTTTTTTTTCCCCTTCTTCCTTTTCCTTATCAGGAGAGTAAGAAAATGACTGGTGACACTTTCAGAGTCATTCAATGATTTATGAACACAAACTGAGTTTCGGTGCAACACTTGCACACTTTTGCTGCTTATGTGCTCCTGGAAGTCTGAAGAGTGGCATATGAATAGATCTTTTTTAAAAATCAGATTCAGAGAGTTTGATTTTATGCTTCTTTTAATGCCAATACTTTTGTCCCTGGAAATACTCCACAAAGTCACATCAGAAAGTAAACGGCAGATAGGGATTTTACAACCTCTGTTATAGATAAGTCCTCATTTTCCCCCTTTGAAGAATTCCAAAGGTACTGCCAGAAACCCAACACAAGGGTGATCTGCAACTTGCAAAACACACTCTAGTTTTATACTGGTTTCCTAAAGCAAGGCAAAAATGAACAAAACAAGTTTACTTGTGTTAAATATTTGCAGAGTTTTAGGATAATCACTTGGTTTCCTAATTCCTATTTGTGTTTTTCAAATAGATTTTCTTTTCCTCCCTAAAGACACAGTGTGTATGCTTTTGGAAGCCTTATTTATCTGCAGAGTTCTGGAGCTCAGCAGTGCTCCAAGGACTAAGCCGTCTGACCTGGGTCTAACTCTTGCAGGGAGCAGGCAGCACCTTGGCCTTTCGGATGACCGTGCTGGAAGAGGCAGTGAGAGGTAAGCTACACATCTGGTTTGTGTGACGAAGATAGAGGCTTTCCAGAGTTTGACCTGAGAAATGTACTTTTCCCTTTATGTTTCTCAATCACCAACTTGAAGCCAAGCGTTATCAGAGTCAACTCTGTTCCAAGCCACCAGGTTAATGACAGTAAGAAATGCCTTTTATCCCCCTGCCTCTCTTTTGCCAAAATGTCATGCCCATTCCTCTTGAAATAAGGCTGTGGTCACTAGAATTTAAGTGTCAGTTTACTCCAGCAGATGCTACTTGAGTTAACTCTACCAGGAGATGACAAAGGGCTCTGCAAAGCCCTTGTTCACTCTGGATACTACTTATCATCAACAGGCTAAAGGAAACCTGCCTATCTATTCCCATCCCTGCAGCCGAGATGCTCTCAAAGGTGGTGGTCAGTCCATTAGTGCTTGTAGAGGGAGGATATTTTTGGAAAGCGAAGGCCCTGCTGCAGGGATGACCATCGGTGACTGATGGAAATCCACAGAGATGGGAATGAACTTGGGTCTCGCTGCCACCACAATACACTGCAGATCTACCTTTGAACAAAAGATTAGTTGCAGTGATGAAATTCAACAACTGAAACACGAGGCTTCATGGATAAAAATAATCTTTATGGGGATTTGTAGTGCAAAGTCTGCGCTTCGCCTGAGTACTGATTTGATTATGTAAATCGTGTACAATCATAGAGTAAATCTCAGAAGTTAATTTTCCCTCCTAGAAGTGTAGAAATGTAAAGGCTCATGCTCCAGAATCTCTCAAACTCTTTTTGTCAGCCACACACACAAACAATACACAGTGCTTAAGGATATGTGAAATCTGCTGTTACCCGTATATATGTGCTCCACGTAGTCAGGGTGCTTTTCAGCAAACATGTCCTTTAACTTGTTTAGTTTGTCAGCCTTGACTTCTGTCACAAATGGTGTGTACATAACTGAAAAAGATTCTTCGGTCATGATGGCTTCTTCAATCATAGCCTAAAAAAGGCAAAGAAATGATACATTCCACGTTGATTAACGGCTAGTTTAAAAAAAAGAAAAGAAAAATAATTACTTTCACAGATGATATTTTCCCTTTAACAACTGCACAGTCATGCAAAGATAACATATTTTGGTCCTGAATATTAATTAGAGGGAAATTTAAATTAGTTCCAGAAAACACTGCCTATCTATACTCAGAAAATCAATTTAATGGAGAAAGAACATTTGTAAACAGTTTTCACTGCAGCTAGCCTATGTCTTCAATGAGGAGAAAAGTATTAGATAAATTATCTTTTAGATGAAAAGAAAAAGTGATTCCATGCTCTCTGAAGGTCACATCTTTCATCTGAGGGTTTTATTCAGTCCTCGGGAGCTGGTTAAACAATACTAAGCATTCATATTACCCTTTGGGTTGACATGAATCAGACACTGTGTCTATACGGAATATTACTCTTAAAATATTGCATTTAAACACCATTTGCATTGAGAGTAAAATTCATTTCTGTGCAGAGGGCAACACTAAGCTTATGAACCTTGTCAGCCCTTAAAAATGACTTAAATGATGCATTGTGCTGGTCTTATGCGGAGAGGTGGATTTCACAGTCAGTGGACCCCAATGAACTGGTGCTGGAACTCCCAGGAGGAGCTACCAGCCTGGAAACAGCTTTGCTCCCTGCTCTTATTGATCAGCGCAAGGAGGCTGAGCTGCGGTTCCTCCTGGGTCGGAGTTTGGGTAAGGCCACATTCAGCGCTGCTTCGGCTGCATCTGTTGCTAACAAGGATTTTGTCTTCCTGACGTGGGCAGTCGTTTCTGAAAACAGGGGGAACTACAAGCTCTCATTAACGTATCCTGGCAAAAGTGTAAACATGGTTCACAGCGACAATACTAACACAAGGTTCATAAGATGGTCGGGAAAGCATGAGAGGAAAAGACATTTTTTAACAGTGTGTATGGATCTCCCAGATCACTTTATACACTGAAGTGACTCACAGAAAGTGTCATCATGGGACTAGCTTGGTGTTTTATTGACAAATCCTCACTTCTGTTCTCAAGTCTGTCCCCCACCTATGTAAAATTATGCAAGACATAGTGTGCCTCTGTGAGTCTTTTGTTTAGCTGATGACTGCTCCCATCAGCCCAGGATGGAAGGCTGAGAGTGCTAATCAGTTAAGTACCTATGTCCTTCTCTTTAATGCCTTTAGCCAACAGGTCCTCTGATATGGTCCTACGCCTATTTATTTCCATCACGTTTATTGGTATGAGGTGTGCAGAAATACCGCAGAAATGCTATAATTTTTTTGAGCATATATTAGAATAGACTGCCATGCATGCACCCTGAGTGCTCTTACACTGAATACCCTGCTTGGATGTTGAGGGGATCACTGGAGGTTTGTTTATGTTTTAGATTACTATATTTAATCAGCCCATTATCCTGCATTTACTGGAATGGAATCAGTCTGGAGTGGGCAGTATTTAGCCCTGGAAAATTAACAAGCTTCAAATGTGTGTAATAGTATCATGAACACCC